AAGGACGTGTGCGCTTCCATTTATTAGCACTTCTCATCTCTTTGAACGAATCCATTGAGAATATGCAACTTCTGAAATAGAAGAATTCAATTACCATGCTATAGCTCTTCCTGGAAATCACCAAAGTTTATACACGGTGAATACGACGTTTTGAAGCAACTTCTACACAGTCTTCGATGATAGAATCCATAGCAACATCCGGAAGAAAACTAACAGAACTCGTCCGACGAAGGGAAATTTATGGCGTGAGCATGTTCACATGATTGTAATCGTAATCGTAATGTAATTGTGTCGCCAGTTCACACGGCAAGTTTGCACCTAACAAACTTTGAGAATGCCACCACAAGAGGGAAACTGCAACGCACGCCGACGCATGCTAGGCAAATTCGCGCGAAGGATAGGGTGCGGTATGTGCGCACCATTATTACCGAATCTGACGGCTAATTTTTCGCGTGTGGGGTTACGGTATGGGAGTGCCGGAAGGGAGCATTATAATATTGTTGATCACTTTGCCTTCCTTTCAAGCATATTGGACCCCCCCTCTACATCGCTCAAGCCAAAGGTCTCTTATACCCCTTATGGTCGTTTTTACCTTCTGTTTCCAGCGATTCTGGTGCACGCCGCACCCACAGGTGTTTACCTCTCTTCCACTGTCAGAATCTATGCACTCCTTTCTCAGGGAGGAGGTGGATAAATTGACATAACTCATTAAAAATTCAATGAAATTGGATTAAACTGTGCAAGCATAATGGTAAAAGTCCTACAGTCATGGACATTAAAGTGGGCCTCATATATCCTGCGGCCGGCTTCAATTTGGAGCCAAAAGGGAGTGGCCACGCTGAACGAGGGGTTTGGTGGAACAGGACAAAAGGGATAGTACTGACCAGGGAGTAGTCGCTGCGGAACGCAGTGGTGTTCTTTTAGAGAAAGTCGTAGAAAACAACATTAGGGTGATTGCACGCGAGCAAGAATAGACTGGCCGCTATCGCAGAGAAGCGTCCGAATTATGGCAAAATCCGATTCTTGCACGGTGACGCTCGTTCACATACAATGTCAGTGACCCGACAGAACGACTTGAATTTGGATAGGAAGTGCTGATCGAACTCAGGGAAGTTCTTTGCAGAGGGCAACCGAAGTTAAAGTGACGAAGTGTGGCAAAACGTGATTGAGATTACCATCTTCCCTATTGTTTTCTTTCTATTAAAAGTCAATAAAACCATAAGTGTCGGAAACCGCATAGAATTACCCCACAGCCTATATATTTGGCTGAAGAAACTGTTGGTGCTCACCAGTTTATATGATCGAGTCCTCATCACTCACTTCCATGAAGAAAATCTTGCATACATGAGGCTCAGGGATAGCTCAATTTTGTCACATCCAGTACTAACAATGAGTTCAACATTAGGGTCGTTATTCGCTTCCCGAGTAGAAGATTGTCGGTCACTCCAATGCTCACAACAATTGCGTCTTCTTACAACCTCTACGTTGGGAACGGTATGAAATAGTTTTCTGTTCTACCTCCTCGCCTGTTGCTTTGAAGCAAGGGATTACGATAAGATTGGATTGGATTCATAGT